TATATATATATATATTTTTTTTAATTCATCTGTAGGTTAAATAAAATATTTTGATATGCTAATAACGTACAAGAATTTAAATTCCTAGAATTTTTTTGTTTTGTTAATCTTTTTCATTTGATTCGTTTACTTCTTCTTGCATTTTTGCATAATAATTGTGCAAATAGATTGTCATAACTCATAAATCCAGGGTTTTAGTGTAAAATTCGAATGGGGGCCAACATTTCAGGGGAAATGGTGAAATCTAGCTACCTCATGGCTCATAAGTCACGGTAAGCTAACTTATAGTTTAGGGAAATGCTAAGGTCCCGTTACGAAATCATTCTGTTGGGATTTATAATTATTGGATCAACTATATCTGACGATTATATGATAATCTAACAATTACAAACCCCGACGGAATAATTCCGTAACAAGACCGTAGCATCGTCTTAACTCATAAGTTAATTTAAAGTTATATTTGATAGTTTATAGCTCGAAAACTATCGGAAATAATAAAGTTGTTTGGTCAAATTAACTAATGAAAAAGTTCATTTTAAAGGCATTTTTTGAAAAGTTACGTGATGAAGTTTGTGATTAGCTCATGTTTTTTTTTTTTTTAAAAAAAATTATTCTACTAAACAAAACTTATTTAATTACATTAAAACTTATAAAGTAATAATAAACTATAAGCTAAATTATTAGACTTACCAAACACACTATTATTTAATTTTGTACATAAAAATAGAGCATACAATAAATTAATTTTGAATTAATAGCTGACAGCTTATTGCTACCTACAAGTTGCGTGATATATAAACTTATTTGAAGTAAAAAAAATTGTGAGATGAACTTTTTTTTTTTTTTGTTTTTAAATCCAATCGTATCCAAAAACATTTTTTAAATAAAATAAGCTTATAAACCAAATGAATAAACTATACGCTAAATTATAGGAGCTTATCAAACATACTCCAAAAAACACAAATTATAATATACACATTGTATGTTATAATATACACTATTACATGTTATGCGTTGAATGTTTGGCATATAGAGATCGTTTTCAAAGTCAACAAAAAATGAAGACAAAATTAGCAAAATATAATAGGCAACAAATCCCCTGTTTTCATGTGTAGGGTATCACATTTCACCTGCCACGACGATTAACATTTAACTGCATAATAAAAGACGTATAAAATCTAATAAGATTCACAATTTGACAAAAAAAATAGAGAAGAAAAACAAAATGACATGAAATTTGCGGAAAATGCTGCAGTCCAGTTACGGTATCATTCCGTCGGGGTATGTAACCGTTAGATCAACTATCTATGACGGTTACATGATGATCTAACGGTTACAAACCCCGACCGAATGGTTCCGTAACGGGACCTTACCATTTCCCGAAATTTGCTACCAAACAACACACTTGACTCTTCCCATACTGTAGATGATAGTTTAGTTCATAAAATAAAATAGAGAAAGTAAATGAACAATAACAATGTGAGAAGTATTTTCCTCAATTCAGACCATGAAATCAAGTGAGTAATTCAAGGAAATGCAATGAAATCACATCAAAGACACATATCAGACTATATCAGGCCAATTTCAACACAAAAGAAAAGGGGAAAACCGAGTAATGCTAGTTCGTCATAGCCAAATTGTTACGTTCAACGAGCCTACTTCCTTCCCCTGCTCAGCCTCTGCAGGTGATAATTAATGCTACCCCACGGCTTTCTTTTACCGCTGGACTGCACATAGTAATTAAACAAAAAAAAAAAAAAAAGCGTTCAAAGTTAACTAAAAAGAGATCATGGGCTCTGAAAGTAGAATTACCAGGGAATAGAATGAAGAAAGAACCACTACAATCCAAGATTAAAGGAAACTCGGGTTTTCAAAATTATACCTGAGCATCCATGCAAGTACTCAGTAGCGATTTTTGTCGGCTGCATTTTGAGTCGTTACCTTGTTGACTCAAAGCTAAGCAGTTAAGGAACGAAATCATTTCTCTTGCGCAAGGTTTTTGGAGATTACCGAATTTCTTCGGGTTGATGAACAAGGTTCCTGCTTTTCTGCCCATGAATTTTCCCTGTTTTAAAGCTGTGAAATGCATAATCAAGAAAATTAGGACAAGGTAAAGTGCATCAATACTAAGATGTGTTTCGAAAACTATACTTTATGAAACTGGAAAAAATGGAATTATATTCACAAGCGGGCTCTCACCCTAAATACTCGATCCAAAGTGAACAAATCATCCATCAGAGCATTACAAACTGAACTCCGTTCATAACAAATCCAATTATAACAAATGCTTTTTAGTAAATGCAAAACAAAAGTTATAGGTTGTGTTGGGTAAGCATATAATCGAGCTTATAGCTTATTTGATTGGCTTATAAGTTAGTTGTCTTCAAATAAACGTGGTTTGGTAGAATGAGTTTTTTCTAAAAAGCTCAAGTTTATCTCATAAGAGTTTATGTTTAACTTTTCAAATAAGCCCATTGAAATTTTCATTTCACCTAGTTTATCAACTAATTTTACTAAACACTTTTATCATTTAAGCTAGCTTTTCAACCACAAGTCATAAGCTATCAGTTATAAGCTCGAAATTCACTTAAAAGTTTTAAGCTAACTTATCAGTCAAGTTTACCAAACATAGCCATAAGATGGACTCTCGTAGCAAATGTACCAGTGTTTAGTATAGACTATAGTGTAAAAAATCTAATCTAAATAAGAAGGTAAAGGGTAGGAAGTGAGCCCTGAATAGCAAAAATACACAAACACAATTCTTTTTAGACTACAGCTTATGCAGATTTTCATACAAGCAGACATACTAAAACAATTCTTCGAATCCACTTTTCTTTTTTTTTTTTTTTTTTTTTTTTTTTTTTTTTTTTTGAATTACACAATCATCTCGAAGGGGAATTTTATCGAATGCCCAGCATTTTTCCAGAAAACCGAAACACAAACTCGCATCGGAAGAACTCCCATCAGTTAACTGACAAAACGAAGAAAAACAAGAACAACACAGACACAACAACAATTAAGTGGGCTCATGAAAAATCACCACAAAAATCAGTTCTGAATGGTGAAATACGCCCTAAAACCCTTCCTTTTTCCTAAATCAATCTTGAAATACAAGCATTTGAGGCATAATAAATCAAGGGTTTTACGACAGAAATATCCCCAATTCCTCTAACATATCCAACAGATCAAAACAGACATAATAAATTGAAGAAAGATACTCAGCAAACAAAACAAATCAACGTAAGACGAAGCTAAAAATAACAAGAACAAATTGAAAATGAAATGAAGCTAATACCTTGGAGAGGTGACTGGCGATGGCGAGCACCGATCGAGACTCGGGGATTGAGAATTTGGTGTCTGAAAGAAATTACGAACAGGGTTTCTGAAAATTTGATGGGTCAAAAGTATTGGGCTATTCTAGTAGTGGGTTCGAGAAAGAGATCGAATTTGGGCCGACTCAGTTGAGTATGCAAAATGGATCCATTTTGCTTGGGTGGACACTGAATAGATCCATTAAATGAAATGAATTGTTTATGGGCTCGACTCATCGTGTTAAACTAGTTTAACACTTGTTTAGTTAATGAGTCGGAACTAACACAACTCGTTAAAACTCGAGAATAAAAAAAAAAATACATAGAGGGTGATTGGATATGAATTCTACTAGTAAAAAACTAGTTTTTTTTTTTAAACTATAATTAAGTTTGAAAAAAAAGTAGTATGGTTAGTTGTTAGTGGATATATTAAAATAATTTTTAAATTAAAATAATTAAAGTTGATTTGATGTAAAAGTAGAAGAAAATGATTGGAAGTGATGGTTAATTAAAATTATGTGAGTGGATGAATAATGAATTAAAGTTGATGTGATATTTAATAATGGTTGGTTGATATTACTTAATTGGGTAATATACTTTTTCTCATCCGAAATATCACGGTTTTGGCGCATCACCATATAAACTATTTTTTTTTTACAAACCACCATATGAACTACATGGGCTTGTCAATGTGCCCCTAAACCGGATATAAATGTGTTTTTGACTGAAAAAAGATATTTTTTAATGGCATTTTAGTAATTTCACACATTTTGCAGAAAATTAAAAATAAAATGAAAAAAATGAAGAAGTTGGTTTTAAAACATAAAAAATAAAAAATAAAAAATAAAGAAAATGAGAAATGAAGTTCGTTCCAAAATGCCTTGGACCAGAAATACCTGTTACGCCACCGGAGCCCCCGTCAGCCTGCATCTGTCAAAACCACTTTTACAATTACACATTACCACTTTTAACTCGCTAAGCTCAAATTCAATTCGTTTATAATAAACGAGTCGAGCCAAAAATTCGAGACCGAGCTTGACTTGACTAAGCACTCAGTCTCATTTACAATTACACCTTACCACCTTAACGTTATCGCCAGACAAGATGAAGTGGGATTTCAATTGATTTAATCTTAGCAATTTCTACATTGTTCTATTTCTTTACTCTATTTTGAGTGCTTCTTCTATTCTAATGAAGAAAAATGGGGTGACATGATGAGTTTTGCAGCATAAACAGGGTTGATATCTGGTTCATTAACAGTGAATTTTGTGTGGGGAAAAGATCGAATTGAGTTGGATTCCTATAATGAGGTGTATAGGTGCTAAGAAAAAAAGGTGGGTGTAGAGATAATTATGTTTTTTTTTATAAGCACTAGTTTGAATTTTTGTTTTCTTTTGTTATTTTTGTGGTGATTATAACATGCATTTTTGGCGTTGTTTGTACGCATTTGGTGCCAATGGTTTCTGAATTGTAGTCCACCTCCGTATATAGCTTGTAAACAATTTGTAATTGCTATAGGCTATAGCCAATGTATTATTATGAATTCTACACACACAGTGTGTGTTACTGTGTGAAAAAATTGATGGCTAAAACCCCTCATGGGGGCTGTTGTAAATATTTTTCGGAGTAGAATCGAAAGATTCGAACACCGGGTCGAGTCTCACGAGGAAGGTTAGCCGGAATACTATGTGCGTTTATTCAAACACAAATGGAAGAAATAAAAATCATAAACATTCTAATTTAGTTTATTATGGTTGATTTTAATTATCTACTAGCACGAAGATCTAAATTAAGCAATGTAAATAGCAAGCAACGTAGAACAAATAGGATTAGAGAAGCTAGGGAGTCGGGGATGTCCGCTTAGGTTCGAAATACGATTATCGAGCAAGTGATTGATGGCTTGGGTCTCTTCCAGCTTAACCAGTGGTCTCGAGTTTGAGCCCTGGGAATGCAGCAGTGTTAAAACTCTTGAGGGAGAGCTTTGCCGCCCTTGTGGTCCTACCCGGCTCGATTTCGGATTAGTCGGTTCCCCTGTGGATCCGGAAACTGGAAGGTCCCTGTACCAAAAAAAAATAACCTACACGTTCAAGTACTCATTCTCAATAACGATTCGTAACAAGAGAACAAACTAGAATGGCAAGTTAACAAGTCATTTAACTTCTAGGCAATACAGTTACGAACAAGCCTAACTTATGCGAGCCTATTTCGACTGACTCCTCCCCTTTCGGTTCTAAGAGTCGATTAACTTAGACTAGAAGATGATTAATCAACTAGCCCGTTTAAAATTAACAACATCAAACATGAATTCATCAAATTCAATTGAAACACTTGCAAGTTGAAGTGTCACCCTTCAACAATTCTCAAAATCCAAAATAATGATTGAAAAACCCTAATTCAAGATTAACTCGCATAAGATGAACAATCAACGAACACCAACAATCACAAACGAAATCAAAACATCAATCCCCTATCCCTAGCACACGGATTTAGCCACTCATAGTCGAATAATCAACAAAAGCATTCATCACAATCCAAGAATTCATAATTAACGATAAAGTTAAAAGGAAATCTTACGAATGATAATTCTCAAGGTTGAATCCGATAAACAAGCTTGAAATCCGAAAGCAATAACAAAATCCAATCTCAAAATCCTTGTTCTACGATTAAAATACGAAAGAAAGATGAAAACGAGTGTTTCGAATGATAGGTAGGGTTGTGAAGTTTTCTGACGAGAAAAGGATTATTTTCCCCAATGAATCTGCTAAGTCCCGTTTTCAGTATATATACGTGAGCTTGAGTCACGGCGTGGAGGGAATGGCTCACGGCGCGGAGGTCTCTCATGCCGCGGCGCGATGGGTGCACAGCAGCGCGGAGGAGTGGTGTGGCACGGCGCGGCAAGAGTGACACGGCGCTGCAGGAGTGTTCTTCAGGGCGAGGTTGCTTCACGGCGCGGAGCGAAGAGGGTCTCGCGGCGTGGCATCTTGGCGCAGCGCGATGGAGAAAAGGGACTCTCTGAAAGCCCGTTAGGGGTGTCACGAGTGTCGTCGTGGCGCGGAGAAAATGCAATGCCGCGGCGTGGCCATGGGAAAATCTCGGTTCTTTGTGAAACTGGACATGTAATTCCAAACACCTAGTCAAAGCTCCGAACCGGCATACCTCCAAAGACAAAGAAAAATACCCGAAAACAGAGAAAATAACAAAATAACTGCAACAACGAAACAAACGACTAGAGGACCGAAAATCCTATCAAAATACCTAAAATCGGGGGCAAAAATTAATAAAGTAGCAAAGAAAAAGATAACAAAAATAGGACAAACAACTTCCCCACACTAAAACCTTTGTTCGTCCCGAACAAAAAGAAAAGAAAGGAAAATAAATAAACGAGCAAAGACAACGGTTCAAGCAAGACTAATCTCAAACACATCAATCGAACCGAGAAGAATTCCAATGATCACGAGAACACACCTCAATTATCAACTCAACTATTTCGAAGAACAAAGACTCTCGAGTACCAGTATGTATATATATGCCTCACTCAGTTTCTTCGCAAAATATAAGAGAGATGCACTCAAATTGGTCGTCAGTCAAGTCAATCATAGATTTGCCTATCGTCTAACTCTTACTCTAAAACAATCAAATTCATAAAACAGTGAATCAAGAGGTCTTAGAGGGTTGTAACGTAGGCTCTTTGGACCGGGTAGGAAAAATATAGGCTAAGTGGCTCAAAAAGTATCAAGTCAACTCATTCACCCAACCGTATCAACAAACTCATCCAGTTGTCACCAACCGGCTCCTCCCACTAACTCCAAGACCAACATACATCCCAAGCATTTTTTATTTTTTTTTGCGAAAACTATTTGAACATCTTATCTAGGTTTAACCTTCGAGTTCTACTCGAGTCTCCTAGACTGGTTTCCCGTACTCATGACTCGTATCCACTAAGGTAGTGGACGGAGCGCTAGGAGTATAATCCATTTGGCTTCCTTTTTTTTTTTAAAGCAAATAAACATATATACAATGCAATCAACTATCACCTCCAATACTATCCCACGACTCAATATCATCATCACGAGGTTAATCAACAAAATCAATCAAGGCTCAAAAGGGGGTGACTAGTGACTGTTATTCACGAAAAGAAGAAGGAAAAGATACTACAAGGAATGCCTCAATCATATTCACGTTTCACAACTCTAATCGAGTTATTTCAAAACAGTCTCAAGGCAAATTCTGCTTGACAAGATAATCCGACCAATATCACACAAGAAACAAGATAGGCTCAAACCTCACAAGGTAAATATGTTCCTCGAAACAACCAAGCCAATTAATCAAAGTAGTTACTCGATCACATCATCACAACTTCTCAATTCAACCAACACTTATCAATCAGTCTTACAATACACCATAATCCAAACTCAGAAAAACACAGAAACCTAAAGCTAGACTGGTCCACCAAGCAAAAGAAAGAAATAAAACAACCTAAAAAATAAAAACTAGACCTGGTCCACCACATAATCACGTAGACACGTAAAACTCCCACACACTTAGAATCAGACAATGTCCCCATTGTTGATTCGCGGTGAAAGAGAGTTAGACCATATAATAAGCCGACTCGAAAAGCAAATAAGCTGTACAAAAATAAAAGAGAAATAAAAAGAACTACTTACAAAGCACAGTGACAAGTCACTGTGTGTCTGGATGTGGAGGGGGTAAGGAGGACTAACTGGCACCCGAACCCCCGCGAGTGTCCCACTGACGAAAATGGTCATCCCATTCACCCCACTTGGCATATTGCTTCTCTTCCTATCTGTCCCAACGGGCTTCATTTTGAGTGATGTAGGCCTCTACCCTCGCATTGTGTGCATTCTGTCGGGCCTGATACTCAGCTTGTTGTTTCTGGTACTGCACGAACCACGTGGGTGCCTGCTGGGGTGGTGCGTCCAGAATGCCATGAGGAGACTGAAGTATGTGATGATATGTCTGATCGTGCTTCTCGTCATCTCCCGAGGCATGCTCCGTGTGCTCCTCTTCTGCTTGTTGAGAAGTCCCCCCAACTACTTGTTGTGACGAGCCCTCAACTGTCACTTTCTCCAGCTCCTTCTTATAATTTGTATAGCACTTCCGTAGTGAGTAATGCTTGAGCTGGCGGTCATCAGTGACTAGATCGGTCGTTTGTAGCTCGTTCCAACCAATACGCACTGTCGCGGTGCTCGGTTCGCCATCAAGAGGAATTTTGAAATGATCGGCAATGCCCGCCACAACGTGCCCCATGGTGGGATAACTTTTCGAATTCCTTCTCGTGTCCCAGAGTGCTTGTTTCAGGAATGGTAGAAGACAAACTGGTTTGCCTTCGCACATCGCCCCTAGGACAAAGACCTCTTGTTCACTCACTTTATTCCACTCTTTTTTGTCGAAGATATTGCACGTGAGGAACTTGTGCACGATTGCAATAGGCACCCCTTAATCAAGCCTGCCGACGGGCCACTTTTGTTAAAGAATTTGCACGGAGATAAGGAAGCCCACGGTTTATTGATGTCAAACTTCTCGGGTTTTTGACGTGCACCCGTGGTCTTCAAGTGAAGAATATCGCAAAGGACCTTGTCTGAGATCTTAAGCTCTTTTCCTCGTAGGCGGCCTGTGAGGTACTTCATATTCTCGTGTGTCTCCAATGTGCTAAAGAACTCGAGCGTGAGGCCTTTGTAGGAAGTCAAATTTGCATCCGCGTACTTTTCGAGATTAAGAGTCCTCAGATATTTTCTGACATCTTCGACTATGCCAAGGCTCTGTAACACATCCCAGTCGAGCACTCGAGAGTACGAGTATTGTCTCGCGACAAGACGTTTGTACGTGAACGCTTCATCTTGATTAAGAACCTCGAAAGGAATGCCGTGAATTTCGGCCAAAGTTCGAGTTTCCTCCGCTGGATGTGAATT